GACAATATGTACATAGGCTGATCACATGCCCGGCAACCTCATTATGCTGCCAAGCAATGTCATTATTCTGCCAAGTCTCCATGTGTTAGACAAGCTTCAGCTGCCCTTAACTGTTTTAGTACTAGTTTGTGACCCTTAAGCTGGCAGCATCCTGAAGCAGTTCCAAGGTATGTGAAGTCTGACATACTTTACAGACTATTCTGTCAGGAATGCAGCCAGGTGGCCAGTACAAGTGGGAACAGTCCAGCAACTGTTGGCCACTTGAGGCTGTTGCGCACACACCATTACTGTTTATGCCCCTGGGCTCTCTCCCCTCTGCCATCATTCTTCCCCACCCCCTTGTAACCTGATTTGCTCTCTGTTTCTAAACTTTAACCCTAGTTGGTTTAACAGTTGTACCACTCCAACACTCCTGTCTCCACCATGAGGCCAGAAACATGCTTTGCAGCAAGCAGTTCGCTTTTATAAAGAAGCTAGCACCTGTGCTCTAGAAGAAGGATGGCAAGCATGCAGGGGGGTCTGCAGAGAGACCAAAAAGGTGAAGATGGTGACTATAACCATGGGATTGAAGCCACATCTGCTGGGATTGCTGTCGCTAAGTGATGCAGTCACATGGCATCGCGCTTTACGGCCGCATTGCTTAGCGATGAAAATTCCAGTCCCAATTGCCATTGTAACCTGAGGCTACCTGTAAGCGCTATCTGTTCTTCCACTCCTCTGTTCAACCCTTGCAAAATTGTAGGCATTGCTTAATAGAATAGTGTACTATAGAAATATTTACCAATGATTTGCATTTATAATCATTTGCAACTTCCTATTTAAGCAAAAATTGAAGGATTAGTTATACTATATATACAGATGTAGACAGACACAACGGTTCACATTAAATAGTGACCATATCAAAATAACCCAGCTGTATCCCTTCTATTAGCTTGTCATGTACTTCCTGTGAACAGTATAAATCAATAGATATTGGGAAAGTCCATGCCGTCACTGAAATATCTTGTCAAACCTCTCCACTTTTTTCCTTCTTGGAAGTACTTATAATTGCAGAACATTTGTTCAATCTGAAACCACAACAAAAGAATGGGAATGAAAGAGGAAATTATATCCATCGAACAATTGAAGCCATTTGCAGTGTTCCTGATTGTGAGCTGCAAATGAAAACGACGGTGGAATTTCTGCATTCCTGGCAAGACAGAAGCAGACTCTGCAGTATCATTTACTCATTTTCTTATGACCCTCTATACAAAATCCATTGCCCTTTGCCAATTTTGCAAGAATTGTAGATGTCAGCCTTGAGGTAGTCCAGATAAGAAGCACAAACCATGAGTACTAACACTACCTTTATTGTAAGGTTACAGCAACAGAAACTTGCAAGTCTGAAAGTATTTCCCCCCTCTTTTACTTTCACTTTCCAGAAAACTAGGGAAGGCCCCTTCGGAGACATTTCCCACGCCCTTTTCCTTCTGTGGGCTGAGATACCTTTTGCATGATAATGTCTAGGCTGCAGTTCTGCCTCCTGTCTCCCAACGTCATTTCTACATACCATTATGATAGGTCAGCGCATCTGAAGAGTACCAGGTAGAAGGAGAGCAGATGCTACTCACATCAGGAAAAAGCATCCGTCTATTTAGCAGGTTAGAAATACACCCAAACAATGTTTATGCTTTCTTATATTTTCACACATCTTTCACCTTTCACCTCAAAATCATGGATGTCATTCTCTCCCTTCCACACCACAGTCCTGTGAGGTAGGTAGGCTGAAAGATTGTGAGTTAGCCAAAGAGTCCCAGCAAACTTTGTATGGAAATTGTATTTGTGCTCCCCCTTCCTGTCCTAATCCAACACGTGCACTACCACACTTCCTTAGCAGTAATTTCAGGATGCCTGTGGAGAACACAATTATTGATCCATTTTCCTTTAAATTGCCAAAGCATGGCCCAAACAAATTACATGTTCTGTGAATTGTTTAACAGCAGGTACTAATTTAATATGAAGAAATGTTGATGAAAGAATGAGCATTTTATCTATTTCGCAGTGAGAATATATCATTTTTAGCCCCACTGTCCTCTCAGAATTGTGAATATAAATGTTAGCATTTATCGTGCTATTAGACTGGAATTTATATCTATACATAAGTACTTGAAATTCAGAAATTTGGTGGCTAATCATCCTAATTCTGTTCACATGCAGACAAAAAATTGAGTGCTTCATGCATTTGTCCAGGAGATGGCAGTCAATAAATGCTATATCAGTTGTTTTCCTAGAACAAATTAATTCTTCATTAAACTTTTTAATTAAAGGATACATCATGATGAAAATATTTCTTAATTGTTCCTTCATTTACAAACCAAATTGTTTCTCATATCAAAAGGAGCATTTACAGTATCACCTGCTGGCTCGGATTAAGTCTCAATCTTAGTTTCAGAAGAAGCAGAAGTACCGCTTAAATACCTAAATCTGATCAACATCCTTACTATCTTAGTCAAAACAGGTCTATTTTATTATTACTATAAGTTCAATCAACTACCTGTATATTACATTACTCGGATGCCTTTGATCCAATGTTACTGCTTCTGATGTCATGAAGAGTGTTCACCCAGATGTCTTTCTTCAGGAAAACTGATCAAAAACTGAGTTCACTATGGATGTTTATTTAATAAACTATTATATAAACTACATCATATCATATCGTGTGTGTGTATGTGTGTGTATCTTTATTGCAGGTATAGGTTAAATGCTAGACTTCTGTACTACTTATAAGGCTATTTAATTTGATATAATTGTCAACATATGTGAAGAAAAACATGTATATTAAAACTGGAACAACTAGCAATCTATTTTATTTCTAGGAAAGTAGATTGAACGTAAACATTGGGAAATACCTTTCAGTGCCATGAGTTGATGATACTGTATACTCTAAACAATTTTTATAATTTTATATCAGCAAGCTAATGCAGGATATTTTACTGGTACATCAAGAAGAATATCGACTGCAACATAAACAATTACCATTCATTTCCAAATGTTATATAGTAGAATTTCAAAAACCGATAGAGTCAGGACACACCGTGGGAAGTAAGAATGAGGAGAAAGGATTATTTGCATGTAGAAACGCCCTGCAGAGGATTAAATTTTGGCAATGCAGCTTGCATTGCTGAAGATATTCCCTTGATTCAAGGATTATTTAGGGGTTTGTGAACTGGGTGCTAGCAGTGAAGAATATGTTAAGATGACCTCAACTGATGTTGCATGTACAGTCTGTACTTCGGTGTCTGCAGTAAGCAAGAACAAAACTGAGAAAAGAGTTGTAAGAGTCCAGTTCTAAATTCAGTAGGTTATCCTTCCAGATAAATATTTACAGGCCAAAGTATATTTGCACAAGCTCTGTGCTGCAAGACAAGATTTAAACATTCAATTCTCATTTTGGTTGCTGAGAACTTGGAACGTGTGGTCCTTATTACTACGTGGAAATTGAGAAAGTTTAATCTCCCTTGGAGTTGAATTACAGCAACATTATTTGAGAATTGGAATTGGCAAACACAACCTAATATTCTACCAAACTATCTGCTGTTTGTAATACCTTCCTAATTTGTTTTGGGTATATGTAATATCAATAATGAGTTAAATAATAATGCCCTATTTACCCAATAGGAAGATGAGATTGCTTTTTCTCATATAACTACCTATATTAAGAATGCAAATGTTTATATACTGATGGTGCAGTCCTAAAGGGTAGTCCCTGGGTTAAGAATGTCCAGGTTACAGGACCACCCATAGTTAAGAATGGAGCCTATTGTAGCAAAATTCGAGTTAAATACACAATGGCTCAAGTTCATTACACAATACCACTTATGCAGTATTATACATACTGTTCCAGCTTACATACAAATTCAACTTAAGGATAGACCTTGGGAATGGAACTGGTTCTTAAACTGGGGACTACTTGTATATTAGGGATGGGTGATCTTTTGGTGACCAGGAAACACACTTAATTTTTACCAAAAGTACCATAGTGGACATGACTTTGATGACACACATAAGCAAGGTCAGGATTTCCGGGGGGGGGGGGTTGTCCTAGTTTTGTGAGGGAGTGTTGTTGTTTTTTAAAATAATTTTTAAATACACAGATGAAAAACCTAGAGTTCCTGGACTAAAACATTTCAGAAAACTGGAATTTTTCATTCCACACCTGTATCACACCAATCTGGACATTCCAGGGATGGCCCAACATTTTTATGGAATAGTATGCTTTACATAGATCTATTTTTAAATGATGCCAGGAATATTTTAGGACTTAAATTACAATAGTTCTGTTCCCACCTCAAAATAGGAAGAAGAGTGGTGCTGACTTTGGCAACTCTTATCAAAAGAGGCTCCAACAGCCTCCAAAATGGGAATCAGAGGCAGCATGCAGCCATGGGGTGCCAGACTGCTAGCCCCTACTAATCTTCTTCTGAAATTTATTTTTAGATGGATTTACACAGGATTACACTATAATAAGCACATATCCCTGTTCCTGTCAGTTTCTATGTATAAGGATAAACCTAAGCGTCATATTAGTTTGCTCGATTTACTGCTCAGACTTACTGCCCTCTTTACTGCCCTTATTATTAGCATATAATGAATCGGGGGAGAAGGGAACTCGGTCCTCTTCTCGGCTTCCGGAAGTTAAGTAAACATCTCAAGCGCAGGCTCGAACTGCACAGGAAGACACTCTTGTAGAAGTGTGGTTTTGCACTTGGGCGAGTTCGGACTTTGTTTTAAGAGAGCCAGCAGGCTTAAAAGTATGCATTATGAATCAGGATTCCAGGCTGAAATAGAGATTGCCAGTTTCCATTTCTGGTCTTTTCCTCGGCCCTCATTTACAACACTTTCGAAAGGGAAACCTCGTCCTGTCTATAGCAGCAATCCGACTCTGAGGGGCGCGCGCGTCCATAACACGGGTCTGAAAGAGCGCACGCGTTCCAAGGAGCCGTCTGTTTTCACTGCGCTTGCGCATGCGCTGTCGAGAGCGTCCAGAGTAGTGCGTTTCTGTGACTCTGAGGGAGAGCGAGCTGGGTTGAGGCGGCGGCGGCTGTTGCTGCTGCCATGTTGTTCTCCGCTCGTTTTCGGACTGCCTTTCCACGCTTGGTAAGGAGAGAGTCGGGAAAGGTCGGCGTCTTTAAAAGGGCAGGTTGGGCGCCGTTAGCGATCTCGGGGTTGGTAAGAGCGGCCAAGGGCACGGTGGCCTTCCTCTTCGGGAAGGGGAGGAGCGTGAGGCTCGGGCTGTTGTATCTCACTTCCTCGGCGGAGGAGAAACGAAGGCAGCGGTAGGACAGGGTGAGTGTCGGGGCAGCGCTATTTTCCCTGCAAAGGCGGGCCTAGGCCGACGAGTGAGAGGAAGATGGATGCGGAGGGAGCGACCTGCTCCTTTGTCTCTCCGAAAATCAACCCATCTTAATTCTCAGATGCGCTCCGTGTGTGCCAACTTGTACGTTTTGAGAGTAGAAGTAGGTGATAATGGCATAGGATTGAAATTGCAATCTTCACGGTCGCGCGAACAGTTTTCTTGCCTGTTGGCTTCTACAAAGATCTTCTTGCGTTGGACTAAACCGTAGCTGATTAATAGAAAGCACAGGAGCTGAAGCTGTATCCCGGGGTAATGTAGGCAGCAAGTTGATAGTGTAAACGTTAAGGTCATTTCAACTATTGGGCCATTATTACTTTTCTAAAAATAGTTGGGAAGGATAGGTTGCACTGTGCTTTTCCATTATGGCTGCGTTATTAAAATCTCAAGCAAAAAAAGTATTCAAAATATGTGTAATAAGCCCCACAACACATAAAACAGCTGCAAGGATTTATGAATATATATTTATAAAAGAATAGTCTCATTCCTTTATGGCATTTTCCTCATTAATTTGAGTTGGTTAGTTACACATATCTGCAACTGTGCTGTGGTCTGTTATCCTATTAATTCTCAAGTAACATTGGTGTGAAAGAGAGATGGATGTTGATTTCTGAAAGAAGCCTGAATCTTACAGATCAAGAGTTGGAAAAACAAAACTCAAAGGCTTACTGCACATCTTTCCTTTTAATATTGTCCAAGAAATTGAACACTTCCTGATTCTACCTTTATTTTTTAAAATATGGTAAGGTATAATAAACAGAAAAATAGAAAAGGGAATAGTATAGCAGGCAGAGAAGTGGACAACATGTTTACATTGGTACACCAATCCATTCTTTTTGTATTTGTGTGCCCTGGTTATTGTAGATGGACTCTGCTCTCCACAGAAGGCAGCTCTTTTGGTACCTAGGACAGTCAAAAGCCCATGACCCAGGAAGCTAGCAGTCATATCTTGTAGAATGTTTCTTTGTTCAAAGTTATAAATGTCACTCAGCTGTATGTCTGGCTAATAGCTGCACCAATATTGTTTTTAAACATTCACATTAATTCCTATACATTTGGTCACGTCTGCTGCATGTGCCATATATTGCCTCTTGCATGGAGGCTATCAAATCATAGATTCTTATTTCATAGAACTGGAAGGAGTCATTTAGGCCAACAAGGCTAAGCCCTTCACTAAGTGCTGGAATAGAAATTAAAGTATACCAGATAGTCTGGGTGTATTCATTAACTTAATGAATGGTTTGTGTAACCATTTTCATACATTTGGTAAACAGAAAAAAAAAAAAAACTCAAGATCAAACTGCCACCTCAATCATGGCAACTCATCTTGCTATACCCCCACTCCTGTTATCTTTTCTCGTGGCTAAATATACCATTTCCTGCAGTCTCTCTTCATATGACTTAACTTTCTAGTCCCCCAGTCATCCTCGTTGCCATTATCTGAACTTACTCAGTTCCTCAGAATTTTTAAAGGGGGGTGCCTAGAGCTAAACACTGTCCTTGATATGCTTTATTCTGAGCAGACTAAAATAAAGTGGAATTGTTATTTCCTGTGGTTTGGAAATTATATTTCTGTTGATGAGATCTAAAATTGTATTTGCCTTTTTTACTGCCAGATTATACTGCTATTATTCCAAGATCATTTTCACAGCTCTTACCAAAACAAGCATGCCCCACTTCTTACTTCTGCATTTGATTTTTGTTTCCTAAAGGAAACTCTTTACAGTTTTCTCTGTTACATTTCATTCTATTCCTTTCTATTATTTTCAGCCCATATCTCTAATATGGCAAAATGCTTACATACCTCACTTAATTGTGTGTTATACATAAATTTGATAAGCATTTCCTTATAAATATTAATAAAAATGTTTACAAATAGAAGATCCAGGACTGATCCTTGTGGCATCTCACTTAATATCTCTTTCCAGTTAGATTATGGAATGTACAGATTGGAAGGACCTTGATCATCTAGTTCAATCCCCTGCCCACTAAAAGCCACCACTAAATATCCCTGACTGATAGCCATCAAGCCTTTATTTACATGCATCCAGGGACAGGAATCAACCATCTCCCATACCAGTGTCTTCCATCATTGAACATCTCTTATCATTAGGAATTTTTTCCTGATGACTAAACTTCCATCTTAAACCCATTGTTTCTTGTTTGAAACTTCTGTGAACAATTTCTTCCCTCATCTTCTACCTGACAGCCCTTCAGATAGTTGAAGATAGTTATATCTCCATGCAGTCTTCTTTTTTCCAGGTTCAACATACACAATGCCTCCAGCCATTCATCATGATTTTTTTCTGCCTTGCCACTTATTGTCTTAGATTTGACGAACACAGAATAGAGAGGCATTGTCAGGAGAGCTTCAGAGGTTTGCAGGATTTGATTCAAGAAACAGCACCCAAGATGTGTGTGTGTGTTTGCTCTCTTTTAACACAGCAAAGTCAATTTTGGCTTCAGGTGGTATTTCATTACAGCAGCTTAGCTAAACAAGCCAAATAACTTTATTCCAGGTCTCTAATGTTCCTTGCTGTTAAGTAGCCAAGAAGTATAGTGCATCATTCAGAAAGTATTCAGACCCCCTTCACTTTTTTCAATTTTGTTATGTTGCAGCCTGATATTACAA